TACTACAAACGGGAGTGTTCAACCGAAAAAAAGAGTTCGTCGAGCAATAGTCATAGGTGGAAATAAGGAAATTAATGTTTTAGTAGCAACGGCCGCTAATCCTCATGCAAGCACACGAGAATTATCTAGATATTTGGGAATATCCCAGAGCAGTGTTAGCAGAATATTAAAACGAAATGCAAATTAATAAAGTAGGTACTTCTTATAAAACGAAATCTTTTATAGTATAAGAGATAAGTTTAAAGGTTTGAAGACAAGTATCTTATTAAGACTAAATTTTTCTGATAAATCAAAAATAAAAAAAATAAATTTCTCTAATTCAATCTGTGGACTTACTGTATAATGTATAATAACCATCGAACAGAAAAACCCTTTTTACCGGACTATTATTAATTGAATAAACGTTAATCTAATAAATCAATTTTTGTAATAATCCTTCGTAGCTTGGCTGATTTGTCCTGCAGGCTTTCCTTAATTAATTTACGTTTTAGCTAGCGATATCAGAGGACCAAATTGGAACTGGGGAGAAAAGAATCAATTAGCGTTGATTACAAATTGGTCCTTCGATTTGCATTTCGTCGTAATCGAACAAAATTAAACGAAACAAGGAACAAAAAAATAAAATGTTTAAATGTCGAATTATTGTTTCCTTTCGCTATTAAAATTCAGCCGAACGTTTTGTTATAATTGAAAAGTAAAGTCTTAAATGGAGACCGCGACCTTTTTGCGACATTATTAAAATAGATCGTAAAAATTTTATGTTGCACAATGTGCAATCCATTATTCTCCATAAAATGTTCCCATAATCATAAAATGGTAATTTTTAGCTTTTTTTAATCAATTTCAATCCCGACGCATTCGCCATTTTTGATAATTTATTATATGTATATTTTATAAACAAATTTATTATTTATTCTTGATAACGATCAAACAAGTTGACTGTACGTATTTACTTAATTATTTATAAACAGACCACCAGTTTTTGCTTATTAAAAAATAACGTAACACCAGGCGTCACGAAGGGCATGCGTGTGTGTGTGTGCATTTTTCCCCGGTGAAAAACAAAACACGGTCTCTTTGGGAACAGTTGTTTACGTCACATCGCCTTGGTACACCTATTGATTTTTCTGGGATGAAAAATAATTATGATTATACACGGTTTCAGATACGCCAGTCTGTTGTCATATATATAATTTAGAATGTCAAACCTATTTTAAGATCTTAAAAAGACATTTTAGAATGTTTAAACATACAAAACACAATTTTGTCCAAACCGATGTTGTTATGTCAGATTTATTTAAGAATGTCAATATAAAAATTGAAATGCTTTACTATATTTTAAGAAGTAAGTTAATTTATACCTATAGGTATGAGTGTCAAAAACACATTAAAATGTTAAACACAATTTGAGATCCTAAAACACTAGGTATATGATGTTTAAATGTCAAATTTACTTAAGGAAGTTAAAACCATAATTAAAAAATACTAAAGAATGTCAAAAACACATTGAGTGTTAGGATGTCAAAAATATGTTATGTATGTCAACGTCTAATGTCAAAACCATATTTAAGAATGTCGATGCATACTTTTGAGTCCAATTTTATCTAAGAAGCTATTTTAGAATGTTACCTTATACAGGGTGTCTCATCGGGAAAATTTAGTAGTCAATAGAACTAACTAGAAAAAAGTTTGTTTTTAATATTCGTTTTCGATATACAGGGTGGTAAAGTTATTAACAAAATATTTATTTTTTCAAAATTTTCAAAATCTTGTCTGAATTATATTAATTTTAAATTTTTAGAAAAAAGTCATTTTTCATAATTTCTTTTGCTTATTATCTAAATACGATTCACGTTGAGAAACTTCCATTTTGTTGTACAGGATGCGCAAAAAAATACAATTGTAAATTTTGCAAAATTAAAAGTTTTTAAATACATTTTTTGTATAACGAAATAAAAGTTTATCAAGAAGAATCGGATTTATAGGTATAACAAGCAAAATAAATTATAAGAAATGACTTTTCCTCGAAAGATTGATAATAAATATTTTTACAAGTATAGTTAAGTCCATCTGTGGACACACTGTATATTAAATTATTAAATTAACTAAAGTTAATTAATCTCTTCCATTTTTTCTTTATCTTGTTTAATTTTTTTCTTAAAAAAAGCAGTGCAGTGACCATATTTTTTTTATTAACTTGACACACAAATTAAACATTAAAATTGTAGAATACCAAAAATATTTCATAACATTAACCTAAAACAAAAAGAAATCCACGTATATTCAATTTAGTTTCGCTGCGGTTGGTTAACAGCATCTAATCCGGGAAACATTTGCGGATTAATGTCGGCCGTTTGTGTATATATACGCAATCCGGTAGGTGTAGGTATATCCAGGGGAATTATTAAAGAACCTAATTCAAAAAAAATATGTTTTTCTCGCTGCCGCAGTCCTTTTTAATTACGCGTCTAAAGAAAATGGGGCGAGGAAAATTAATTTTTCCCGAAAGTTTCCTATTTTATCTGAAATTGGTTCTTAACAAAAAGTGACACCTGTCGAGTTTATTTATCATGTACGACTGATGGGCGATAAACAATACTCCGGGTCCAATTTATAAAACCAATTAGTTTTTCCACTGCATTTTGCGTAACGTGATTGCCACCAATATTTGAAATATTGTCCTACGATATTGGTTTAGTCATGCATTATGCCGAATGAGATTTGCGAAAAAGGGACAAATAAAATGATACGAACTGATTTATTAACTGAATGAACAAAACATCAAAAAACTCGATTTAAAAATGTTTTATACGCAGTAAAAAATATTTGTTAATTTTAACCAAATTTTAACCAGATTTGTAATAACAAACATTTTGTAGATTTGATAACAAAATCCTACATCAATAAAGTAACCATAATTCTTGTAATTTTCCAAAAGGACCTTATTTTTATAAACCTTTTTGTAGACACGGTAACAAAAGTATTTGTTGAAAATTGGAAACTCCAATAAAAATAAAATAAAGATTTATTGCTTTATTAATCAATTTTCTAAACAAAAAAATAACACACCTACATAAATGAACACAAAAATAAAATAAATAACACACCATTCTGAAATTATAAAGACATTTGGTACAATATAATTATCAGTAGGTACTACTAGAACACCTACTAATATATTTCGTAACTTTAACCCACTTCACTGAATCCCCTAATTTCAGTGATTATTATTTTTAAATTTTACAAAATAAAATTAACACATTAACTCATGTTAACAAATCTGATTTTTAAAATAGTGTATGCATCAAAACTCAAGTTTTAATTTATCATTTTCAGGACAACTTAACTTGTGACCGTGTTTTTTTTTGTTTTGCTTTTTTTGTACACGTTTTCCTTAAAACCCTGGCAGCACTACAAAATGCTTAATGCTTGCTTGCTCTTCTGTGTACGTGACAAGCGAATTTGTTGTTAACCTGCAATATGTCGCATGCTGCTGTCGAGCAAAAACGCCATTTCATTTACGAGACCTGAGGTTTTTCAACAAGTTTTCTTCGGACGAGGAGAAAATGTCCGTATACGTTTTATATATAAGCGTTTTGGGTAATTTAAAGTGTCAAATTTACCACGCGAAGAAAATATACTTCAATATTTAGTACCATAGTTTATAAATTTTTCTTGGGCATGGCAACGTCTTTAGTATTATTTAGAATTTCGGAGCACCATAAACTTCGTAAATTTTTTCGACTTATACGTTATTTTTACTATAGTACTAAACAAAAACGATACAGATACGAAAAATTACCAAATTTGGGGAATACGTTATTTTTACCACATGATAATAATAAGTTAATATTTAATTTAGAAACAAATTAAATACCTACCACATATTTACGTAAAAATAACGATTTAAATCAAGTAATTTTTTTATTTTAATCTATGATTTAAATTATTTTTAAGAAAGTTTTTACTATTTAAATAAATTCATATGCATAGAAAAACTGCTTATTTTGTTAAATAAAATAATAAAGGAATATACAAATAATATATGACAGTTGCGGACGGTGGTTTATTTGTTTATAAAGTAGTTCAATATCATATTATTGATTGATTGAAATAAATGGTGGATTATTAGTAGAGGTGACGAAAATCTAATTGTAGAGAATTTTTTTAATTCTCTATTTTTTGTTTTTTCTCTATTGTTGTTTTAAGTTTTTATTTGTTAAAACCAAGCATAGAAATATTTACTATTATTTTTTAATAAAATTCAGTATACGGTCGTTTTTAGGGGTGGTGAATCCAGTGCCGTGCATAGATTTTTTTTCTAATAAATCGCTAATATAAATTATTAAAAATTTACTCTCAAAAACTGACAAGTACCCCTTGTATTTTGTAAAAATATAGCGTTTTTTGCTTCAAAAAACAAATTCGGTTAAAATCGCGCAATAAATAAAGATTTTACAGGGGTGAGTCGCAAACAATTTGTTTGCGACTATTTATATATCTAAATCCAAATTATTAGTATTATCTTCTTTTATCAATGAATTCAGTCCTAAGTTTTTGTTTATTTTGACGTAAGTTTTATATCTAGGTATATTTGTTATTTAAAATTATTTAAAATCACTTTTCCTAAATATTAGACATAACCTCACAAAAATTATATTTACCTATTTTATATTTTAACAATATTTATGTCTTAACGAAAGCTTTGATGTAGTTTGCCTGAAGATGGTCTAAAGACCGAAACTAGTCGCAAATAAATATTTATAAATAATAAGGAAATATTATTACGTACGTACACATACACCTTCAAAATAAATTTACCTTATTTAAAATGGACAAATTACTTCAACTATATACATATAGGATTATGAGTGTTATAATATGAAAATTGGTATACTTCGTAATTATTGGAAGATTCTGTATTATTTTGTTGTATTTATATTTAAAGTATTTTATTAATTTTTTTTTAAATTTTTTTATCTATTTTTTTTCTTTTGCAGATTGCTCCAGCAGCCAAGAAACTGTGGGGGCTTGAAGCGAAAGATGCCAAGTCCCTTGCTTGCCGATTAAATCATGAGGGGGTTTGGAGGGACCCAACATGGGCAGCACCTGGTGAGTTTCAATTTAATTTTATAAATTTAAAAAATATATACATGTATATGTGCACATATAATCCAGTTTTGTATTGTTGAGGTGGGTTGTTTAGTGCGAATTTTACGATAATTTTATCGACAGTTGCACTCTGTGTGTAGTAATAAATTACGCGTATTTTTTCATTCAATATGCGTTGTATGTATGAATTTGGAATGTGGAAGTGGTGTAATTCAATATAATTGTTAAACCATCATTTGCATGGTGTTTATAGTATACGTACAAGATGTTGTTAAATTAGATATCTAATGCACTATGAGACAAGACGTTTTTAAATTGGTAACAAACAAACTTAGTACTTTCCATTTCCTTTATGAACATTTTTGAATGGTGGCCATACATTGGCAGTCCTTGCATTTCGTTTTGAATTAAATTTTAAACCTTCAGGGTTTTCATTAGAGTCAATGTTTCCACGGCACAATTGAACAATGTAAAATTCTGCATCTTTTTACTACGAAAAAACTGATAAATTAGGTGCATTTAGATTTCGAGTCGATTTGGAATTGAAAGTTTGCCAAAAGTACGCCACAGCGAATAGTGATGCTGCATGCAAGCGGACGTTGTAAGAAGTTTAAGGGGAAAATTAATGACTGGTTTTGCGTCAAGCCAGACGTGGAATACGTTAGAGGCGTTCGCTCCTTAAGCTTTGCATACATGTTTGTGCAGTTTCCACGAAAACGGATACGGATAACGATCGTTAACTCTGGATTAGAAGATTTTCGCCGAGGATGTAATGGTTACTTAATTTAAATGTGACACCAAAGCAAGGAGGTCTATATTTTGTAAATAATTGGATTTAAATGAGAGATTTTTTTATTGCACTTGAAGTAAAAAATCCTTGATTTTGGTTTTCAATCACACACATTTTGATGTACAATGTACGCCATTTTTTGTAGAATCTATGACGTAATCGGCCGTTTTTTTAAATTTTTTTGGGGATTATAATAGATTATGAAATTTTGATTTCAACAATATGCACTTAATACCTTTTTGGACTGATAGTTTCGGAGATATTATGTATATTTAACATATTTTTTGTGTCCCAGAAAGTCCACTCAATTTTTTTAGATTTTTTTAATTTTTATTACGTATGTTCATTTTTAATACAACAGAATGTGTAAAAGAAAATTATTATTTGATATTTTTTTACATATGTAACTGCAAAGTTAATTTAAGAAATCGTGTTGTGTCAATTTTATTTTTTTTTAATGCTTTTTAACCTAAACTAATAATTAATATTAACTTTAACATATAACTTTCTATTAATTTTACACAAATAGTATGTCTTCATTTAATTATTTTAATTTGTTATTTTAACAATATTTTTTAATTAAATTTTACATTATTAATTTTTTTATAATTTATTTTAATAAAATATTTAAATTAAAATTGTTTAATTAAAATTGGTTTTTGGGCATAAAACATGTAAATATGTAATAATAATAATTTATTATCATACAACATAATTTAAAAAAAGGCCAGCAATAAAGCATTGGAATTCACTAAAATTGCACAGTCCAGTCCTTTTTTTGTATTCCAGAATAAAATACAAATCCTTGCCATAGGGTAAACGGTTTTCAAACATTTCTGGGGATACAATGTTATGTAAGTAAAAAAAACATTATCATAGCAAACTTACCTTTAAATTTTGTTAAACACACGCTATATAAAAGCACACTTAACCTTACAATTAGGAACCTCTAATCGAATTAACTATCATCAACCGACTAAACGCGGTTAGAAGACAAAGGGCCTTGCAGGGTACTGGTTTTAATCGAAAGAAGGCGAAAATTAGCGAATTAGAAGAATAACATTTATATTTAAGTTGAATTGAATAAAAAAAAATACTCAAATATTTTAATTTGATTAAACATTTTCTGCACTCAAATATTTAACAAATATTTTTGAGTTAGATTAACACTTGTTTAGGAGTCATTTAAACTAATGTATTATATTGAAATTAACATGATTTTCTCGTAACATTAACTATTTTAATATACCTACTAAAATGTACAAAAAATTATTATTTAACATTCTTATTTCTGTAGGACCTTTTAAAACATTAATGTTTGTTAAATCTTTTGAAAGAGTAAAACCGAATATAGGAAAACGTTTTGGGCGTGGCCTCGCCTCTCTCCAACGTGCGACACAGTAGCTAAGCAAATAGCCTGCATCGCTAATGAGATTTTTTGCATTATTATCATTTAATTTTTAAGGTCGTCTTACCTGCTCGACCTCTCGTCATGTCGTTTATCACACAAGCTACTGTGACGCGTGTTGGAGGGAGGCGAGGCCACGCCCAAAACGTTTCCCTATATTCGGTTTTACTCTGAACGGGCTGTATATCATTTATGTTAACACTTGGAAATATATGTAAAAAACTAACTGGTAACGATAAAGATAAAAATATTTATTTGGAAATAAAAATGCTTAAATCACGAACTTTTAAATTTAATAATACCCAAAACTATTATCCCAAAAGCATATTGCTGAATTCAGAATTTCATAATCTATTCGAATCTGCAAAAAAAAGAGGGGGTACAATTTAAAAAAACTTCAGATGACGTCATAGCTTCTACGAAAATGGCGGCAAATATTAAAATTTTATATCAAATTGTGCGGAATTAAAAAGCAAAATCAACATGTTCAAGGAATTTTTTAGGAAAAAAAGGGAAACTTTTTAATGAATTTGTTCGAAACTTTTGCAGTCACTGTATGTCTTCCACTTTTTAATCTCCAAGTTTTAACGTAATTTTACCACAATATTACTCCTAATAATAATGGTTCGGGATTATTCGATGTTGGGTTACGGACTAATGTTTCAGAAACCGTACACAGACTACGTGATAATGTTGTGATAAGGAAGACCTTCAAGCGTGTAACGAACACCTGCTCGGAAACGCAAGCCACACCGAGACAAAAGCAAAGTGTCTCGACAAGCATTATCCTCGTTCGAAACTTAATATCCATCTTGTTGGTTATTGATTTTTTGCGCGAAGAAGATTGAAAAAAAAAATCGTCGTCCGTCCGCATTCGTCGCACAATACCGCTGGGATTTTCGAAAAATCCTCCTAAAGCCGTCCATCCGGATGAAACATGTCCTGACACGCGGATAATCAAATGTCCTTCATTTGAATAAGAAACGTTTTCCCTATTCACGTTCTATTTTTAGCGTTCGTACGTATATACGTTCGAGAGTTTGGGAGCGGCCTCAATTACCGACGTAAGGCATTCACGGGGGTTTAATTGATAAACTTCCTCGTAGTGCGGGCCAACTTTAAATTGGCTGCAGCCTTAATTGTTGAGAAGCCTCGCCGGAAGGTGTTTAACCCTTGAGACGGATCATCTATGTGGAAAATGTTTGCTTTAAATGCTAAAGGAATTTTTTTTATCATATAAATTTTAAGTATAAAATAAAGTTAACGATATTAGTCGATATAAAAATTTTTTTTTAAAAATTCTTGGTTGTAGTAGAGTTTACTTAAAAGACATTTACTAAGTTTTAGAAAGATTGACCGTATTCTGAATTAGTCAAATTCTACTGAATGAAATAGTCAAATTAGTAGATTTAAATTTAAAAAAAAGTTTTGACCCAGGCAAGATTTGAATTAGGGTCATGTAAAGCTTGTCAAGCGTATGACATAACCAATGAGCCATCAGTCACTTTTATAAAAGTCAATTTTATTTGTCTATAAATATTGCACATAATATTTTAAAGTTGAATATATTTTTTGTGTTGCTGTTTTGAGCTAAACTTTTTGCATCTTTATTTGTTTTTATGGGTCATTTATTCATGGACCCTATATCCATTTAACTCAAACAATAATTTGTTGTTGGCCGCAAACGATTAAAGAAATTAGTTACTTTTAACTCTTAGAAATAGTTAAAAATATTGACTAATCTTAAATTAGTCAAACTTTAACTATTTAAGAAGTAAAAAAAATAACTATTTAAAAGTTTCCGAGTGAAAAAATTATTAAAGTTGTTAATGAATGTTAACTACCATAATTTCGTTTTCAAAGTATATCACTAAAAAAACACAATTATATTAAGTTATTTATTTTTTCAAAATAATCAGACATTTCTTCTACCTTCCATGCTCTCTAAAAATGAATTAGTCAAAAAGACTTTCCTTGCATTTAACATAATGCATATTTTCTGTTTCTATTTTTTTGTTCCCATATATATATATATAGCGTTACCATAGAAACCAACTATCAACAACTCCCAATGTCACATTTAAATCCAATTTTTGACGTTTTTTAATATATGTATGTTTTTGTGTTACAATATATAAATAAATAGTTATATAAAATAAAAATACATTATAAAATCAGCCAGGAAATTCGATTTTTTTTAAATCAAATGTAATAAAATGACAAAATAAATTTTGTTTTTGCAAGTTGCTACCTATCGCTAAAAGTGGTAAGTACCACTTTTAGCGATAGTACTATAATAGTACTATTACTATAAGTTTAATTTTATTTCAATGTTTTTTTTTCATGGATAACTTGACAGAATGAATTTTTGTAGTTATTATTGTGCATTTTTCTACTTAAAATTTTTCAATAAAATTTAGTATATTGTCGTTTTGAGTGCTGTGCTTAGATTATGTTTAAAAATGTACTCTTAAAAACTTTTGTACAAATATGGCGTTTTTTGCTCCAAAAATACAGTTTATTAAGATCTACACTTTAAAACAAATTCGGTTAAAATCGCACAATAAATAAATATTTTACAGGGGTGAATCGCAAACAAATGGGTCACACTGTATAATATATTATACTTGCCAATAGAAAAAACTTTTTTATTATGCGTTTTATGGAAAAAACTCATTCCTTATAAAAAATCCTGCTTATTTAAAAAATGACATTCCCTTAAAAAATGCTAAATATTATGTACAGGGTGGTCAGAAATTAAGACAACATGATTTCTTTATAAAAAAAGTACCTTTATTAGTTGTTTTATTGAAAAATGTTATAAGAGGAAATCAATGATAATTTAAATACGAAATATATTTTTTTATATAAAAATTATATATATATATATATAATTATAATTATATATATATATATATATATATAATTATAATTATATATATATATATATAATTTATTTTATTTTTATAAATGTATTTATATTTATAAAAAAACTTACAATAGAAAGTTAATAACAATATAAATTTAATTAAATTAAATCAAATTCAAGTCTAAATAGGTACGAAATTTATGTTTTTTATTTTAAAATTTTATCGTAAGATAATTTTTTTTATTTTCTATTTGGACTGTCATCGACTTTCTCATTTAAATTTTTGTAATGTAATTATTAAAGGTACCCACCTGAAGAATTTTCATCTTGTCTTAAGCACCCTGTACATTTGATTCAGAATTTTTTTATGAGAATTTCATTTTTTAAATAAGCAGTAGTTTTTATGAGGAATAACTTTTTCCATAAAACGCATAATAAAAAAGTTTTTCCTATTGGCAACCCCATCCAGGGACACACTTTAAATTCATATTTTACTTAAATTTCTTGCAAAATTTTCTTGTAATGCATTTCGTAAAGCGCCCCCTTTGACTTTTTTGGGAAATCAATCGTGAAAAAGTTGCCCGCAGGAATAAATTCTGCCGGAGAGCGGCAAGAGAATAATAAACCGCCCTCTTTAAGAAACCAAACAAAACAAAACGGAAGCAGCGGGTAAACAGATTTTGATGGGAAAAGTTTTCTGGCATCGAGTCGCGTGAATTTATTATTATCCGCATGAAACAATTAAAATTATCGATAAATATAACAATGTTTTGCTGCCACAAAAGGACAAAAATAGCCGTACTTTAATTGCAAAGCCTTGCTGATTAAAACCATTATGCCGCCATATTGCAATGTGCAGGTCAAAAGATAACAATGACAGGGTGTTATCGGTGTTTTTGCGCACGCTTAAAATACTATAATTATAATTATATATAAAAGACAGTTCATACCTTAATATTTTTTGTATTTATAACCCTCAAGGAAACGTTCATGTAATTTTTGAAAAACCATTAAGTGCTTGAATATAAACTTTATCAACCAACTCGTGATGCAATGCTGACATTTTTTCACCCAGTTTTTCGTTTCAAGACGGCGGCGATTTCTTTGTAGCTATTAGCTCCTTTTACAGTTGCACACACTGTCCCTCAGGTAATAATGAAGTTATAAATACACGTTAACTAAACACGTAATATACAGTGTGTTATTACAGTGCCAATCACGCTCTTATTACTTTTGCCAATTATTCTTTACGTAATTTAATCGAAATCTGTCAATTTCGGCACTGTGTGCAGAATAATAAATCTAGGTGGACAAATTTTGTGCGGGAGAAATTTCGTTTTTGCCAGCTGTGCGACGTCGTTTTTCTTGATAAATCATCGCCGTTTTTGCCAATTAGACGAAAAATGTCGACAGAGGAAATAAAGTGATGGAGCACGTTAATCTAATATAATTGTTTAAGTTACTAAAACAAAATCATTTTAATAATAATTTATTCTTTATCTATCGCAAATTAAAACGAATGCACCAGCATGGTGTGATCGTTAATTAATTTATAGGTGGGTTGAGATCCAATTATTTCCTGTAATAATTTTGGTTCAGCTGATTAGCCAACCATTCACTGCCTACATACCTACTGATTTATTCGAACAAATCTGACTGAATTTGCTGTAGACGATTTTCAAATAGGGATGGCAGATTGAAAATATTTTCCATTGAACCATATATATATATATATATATATATATATATATATTAGACTGGGCCAAAAAAATTGACTATTTTTTTTTTTTGAAAACTATATCGAGAATGTCATTCAGAATGACAAATAAAAAATTTCGTGAAAATTTGAGCCCTTAATATTAATTTTAAGAGGTCTATCATCGCTATTTTTGATTTTTAGTCATAATTTGATGTTTTACGTTAGAACTGTCAAAACATTAAAGTGAAAAAAATTCCTTTTCACTTATTTTTATATAAAATTAAATTCTCTACAAAAAAGGTCTGATTGAAAATTTTCGTCAGACGAGCCGTTTCCGAGTAATTGAGCGTAATAAATCGATGTGTTTTTTCGATTTGCCCTTTTTACTTTGAAATTTTGTAACTAATGAATCAATGAATATTTTAAAAAGCTCACGTCGGATTCTTAAAGGAAATTTAATGTTCTACAAAAAAGGTCTCTTAACATTTTTGCCTAAATTTAATTCTTCAAAGGTTATTCACGATTAAAATCGAAGAAAAACTTAAAATTTGAATTTTTTCTTCGTGAATAACTTTTGAAGAATTAAATTTAGGCAAAAATGTTAGGAGACCTTTTTTGTAGAACATTAAATTTCCTTTAAGAATCCGACGTGAGCTTTTTAAAATATTCATTGATTCATTAGTTACAAAATTTCAAAGTAAAAAGGGCAAATCGAAAAAACACATCGATTTATTAGGCTCAATTACTCGGAAACGGCTCGTCTGACGAAAATTTTCAATCAGACCTTTTTTGTAGAGAATTTAATTTTATATAAAAATAAGTGACAAGGAATTTTTTTCAGTTTAATGTTTTGACAGTTCTAACGTAAAACATCAAATTATGACTAAAAATCAAAAATAGCGATGATAGACCTCTTAAAATTAATATTAAGGGCTCAAATTTTCACGAAATATTTTTTTTGTCATTCTGAATGACATTCTCGATATATTTTTCAAAAAAAAAATTAGTCAATTTTTTTGGCCCAGTCTAATATATATATATTTTTTAGAGTCTTTATAAATCAATGATTAAAGGGCAAAGTTCATCATTAGCTGTTCTTCCACTTAACACTTAAATTCTAACGGGAATTCCAATAAATATGTACAACTGTCACTTTTTGTACTTTTAACATTTCCCATGTAAAATTTTTTAATAATTTGT